TCATATTATTCCACCAATAACTCCTCTTAAGTCGAGCGTATGTTTCATTTATACCTCGATGGCATGTTTTGCCCTCGTGATATTTGCGTATCAAGTCTACCTGGTCATCCTCAGAGTTTGTTAGGTTAACTACTCGCTCTGTGCATTCTGCTAAGTTAATTGATCCCTTTTTGTAAAGTTGGGTGACTACATTAGTGAATATCGGTCGGAATAGAATGTCCTCATAATAAATAAAATATTTATGTTTGAAATCGACGTATTCTTTGAAAAAGTTTTTTACGAGATTATCCTTATGTAGTGGTAAATGAACTTCCAGGATCCTCTGTTTTTTATTAGAAATATCTTTGACTTGTAATTTATCGATAAACCATTTGTACACTATTATTTGCTTAGGTTTTGTGACAATGGCTTCGTTTAGTATTGGGATGCCCTCGTGCTCCCTGTTTGATGTTGAGTGTGCTGTAGCACCATCGTCGGAATCTGAAATCTCTACGGTCTCTAACTGTGGCTCCCTATTGGAATATTGGGCTACGTCCTCTTCCAATTCCTAACTACGTTCTGTATCGTCTCTTCATCTGCATCCACGTTTACTAACATTGATTCTACATCGTCGTCTATTAAGTTTAACCTAATCCTAGCATTAGTGTTTTGAGATCCTTTTTTATAGTGAATCTCAAAATCGTACTCTTCTAGCCTTAGCCTCCAACGCGTCAGCTTACTATTAGGCTCTTTCAGTGAATAGAGCCATGCTAGCGGCCTATGGTCTGTATAGATAATGAATTAGTTACCATACAGGTATGGTCTGAAGTGTTTAAACCCTTCGATAATCGCTAAGAGCTCTTTTTCAATTGTACTATATCTGGTCTGTGTGTCGCCTAATGTTTTACTAAAATACCTTGGGACAACACGGCGCCTATTGCAAAGTTTTTTTAAAAGGTTTTTTAAAGTCAGGAAACTGCAATAAGGGGCATTAGTTAAGAATTTTTTACATGTTTCAAAACTATTCTGATACTCTTCATTTAATACTATATTATGTCCCTTTTTTAAACATACTGTTAGTGGTCTTGTTATTTTAGCAAAATCCCTGATAAATTTTCGGTAATACCCTATTAGTCCCAAAAAACTTTTTATTTCAGTAGTTGTCTTCGGTATCGGATAGTTAAGAATTACGTCTATTTTGTTGGTATAAGGTTTAAGACCTTCCCTAGTTATGGTATGGCTAAGATATAGAACTTCTTTTCTAAGAAACTGTGACTTGTCTATTTGGACTTCGCTCGTAACTTCTGAATATGTTCAGACAGACTTTTCGAGAATATGATGACGTCATCTAAGTAGACCAGGCAATGTATACCTTGTAGACCTCTAAGGACATTGTCCATTGCTCTCTGAAAAGTAGCAGGAGCTGTCTTCAGACCAAACGGCATTCGGTTAAATTCGTAATGTCCGAAGGGTGTGCTAAACGCGGTTTTTGGTCTATCCTCTTCTTTAACTTCGAGCTGATGAAAGCCGCTGGCAAGATCCAGGGTTGTAAAGTACATACTTTTCCCTAACATGTCAAATAAATCATTAATATTCGGGAGTGGATACTTATCGTCTATAATCAACTACCATTCTCCACTTTTGTTTCCCGGAGGCATCTACTTTCTTTGGTACCAGGTGGACCGGTGCACTCCAGGGGGAATGAGATTCCTGTATGACAATTATCTTTCAACATTTTTCTAACCTGACTTTTAATTTCTGCCATTTGTGACGGTGGCAGCCTATGTGCCGTATTAAATATCGGGTCCTCATTTGTCGTTCTAATTTCATGCTTTACTTGGTTTGTGAACGACATCGGGATATCCTCACAATAAAAAATATCCTTATATTCCTTACAGATATTCCCTATCATTACTTTTTCTTCTTTGTAAATGTGTTCTAACCTAAGTTTCATAAGGTTTTTGCTTAATAAACTATCTAAATCCTGAGTGAAGTTCAAATAGCATTGATTCACCTGATATGGTTCTACTTTAAAAGGTGCAGTTACTGTTAGCGACATACTATCGGTATTGCAGTTTTGAATTACTGTTGTAGCAAAACCTTCTTTGCACGAAACTAATGCAGAAGGCATTCTAATCCCCTTGCTAAACTCTACCTTTTCTAATATTCCATCGCCGTCTAATAAGTTAACGGGCAGTTTAACTCGCAATTCACTACGACCCGGCAATTCATAAGAAATCCTCATTGGTGGAGTGTATATTATAGGTATGCTAGTATCCCTAGTAAATAGCGTTTGAGATTTCATATCGATATTAGCGTGGAGTTGCTTTAATAGATCGCTACCGATTTATCCATCGTACCTTTTATCTACACTGTATACGTAGAACTTGTGTTTTAGTGTGCTGCGGAAAGTATTCGGCAAAACAATATTAATAATTTCATTATGTTGGCTTGAGGCGTGTGTACTAACTACCTCGAAAGGTTCGTATTTTTGTATTGATTATCATATTCGTTAGCCTTCTGTGGGCTTATAAACGAACGGGTACTTCTGGTATCTATCATTAACACTGATTTAAGTTCCGGTATCCGAATGTGAGGAAGATTAAGTTGTATATTACAGTTTAAAATTATGGTTTCCCTATCGGCGAGGCCCTTACGCAAAAAAAATCTGCGATGTCGGGTTCTCCAGACGATCCCGAGACAGGTTCGTCATTGTTTACAAATTAGCTATCTGTGAAATTAATACGTCTCGAGCTAGCCGTGCGCATTGTTACGTCAGTGTTGCTACCTGACTCAACATATGGACTGCTCGTATTACGCGGGGCATTGTCCGCAAACTGCTGATTTTGCGTTAACCGGTTAAAGGCCGGTTGTTGCCACTGGCTAGGTCGCGTAATATTTGACCTGAATGAATTGCGTGATTGCATAGAGCTATTTGGTGTAAAGTTATGATTGGGGGTTCTAAAATGGGAGTTATCATTATTTTGTGAATTATTATATATTATACTAGCAAACCCCGCGAACTCCGTTTCGCCACCAGATGGCTTCGTTTTATGTAACATTTCGTTTGGTGATTAAAATTTTTTTTTTTTTAATTTTTCCTGAATTTTATTTGCTACGAACCTCACGGAGCCCGAGACCTTTCCAACGAATGCAAAACCGTGGAAATCGGTTCGTGCGTTCTGGAGTTATAGCGTCAGGAAGGAAAACCTGACTTATTTTTATATAGTAGATTGAGGTCTATTATTGAAATTATGAGAAAAATTACTATTATGTGGCCTGTTTGGTGCCGAAAAGATGGGTTGACGCTGATTATTATACAGGTAATTATTATTGTATCTAGGGTTTCCGAACTCTCTATTCCAATTTTTGTAATCGTAAACAGTTTGGAAGTTTTGTTCTTCCAAAACTATTTTCAGGGCGTCTTCTAAAGTTAGTCTGTTTCTGAGGCGAACCAAACGTACTATAAGCGGGTAAATTGTACAGGAACACATTTAGAGATACATGTGTATAAATTTCCTGTTTGACAGTGATCATATTTTTGACTTTTATAGTTTCATTTACTTTGGCTATTAAAATGCTCCTAAGATTTTGAATCCTATGACAAAAATCTAAATAACTTTCGCCTCGCTGTATTTTTAATGCTTCTAGTTCAAGTAATAAGCACTCTTCAGTACGCGGGTCCCCAAAATGTTGATGTAAAAGATCTTTTAATTCTTCCCATGTACTGATTTGTTCCGTCTCCCCGACTAAGTTCGCGGCTATTTAATCTACTTGTTATTACATGAAATAAATATAGATTTTGTGTATTATTACCCCCAAAAGTATTTAGAATATACTCGCATTTCTTATTAAATAACGGCAGTTGCCTTGAGTCGCCCTCGAATAGGGGAATCATGTTCACCATTTCAGACGGGACGTGAATTATGTTTTCCATTTTTAACAAAGTACGTAAACACGCGTAAGCCACAAAAGAAAAAAAAATAACACAAAATTAAAATGCACAATAAAACAATCAAAACGCAAATTATTAAATGAGAATATAGAATTCAGTAGAATATTAATTAATTAAAATTGAAAGATTTATCCTAATGTTATTCTGGCGTTTTGTAATCCCTAATAACACATTTAATTTAAGGTTCATAGAGGAAAAAAGACAGGATAGTGAAGAGTTTTACTCACAAACCCGCATTTATTCCCATGACGTGGAAGACTTGTAGTGGTTCTGGCTGCTGTTGCTCCTCGACGTTATTCAATACATTTATTTGTTCGGTGATCCCAGGTTAAACTGTAGAGACAGACGTTGCGGCGAAATGTTTCTAAGTTAATTTAGAACTTTGTGAAAAAATATCGCGACCCAACTACTGGGATCCTACCGACTGCGCCAATTAAATAATATGAACGAGTTTTAACTAAAAAAAAGATTTATTTCTACAATTGGGCAGCCTTACACTACTACAATGAATTCAATCTTAATTAACTTAAACATGAGTATATATACTATAATAAATGCTGAGGTGTCTATAACTAACTAGATCATTTAGTATTGCTTATAAAGCGTATTGGCTTGGGGTTGACGGCCCTAACACGCGCTCCGTTGCACGCTCCAGGAACGCGAACGTATATTCACTATATGAAGCAGTTGCAGAAGCGCGGAGCGCAAGTGATTGGAGAATATAGTGGATATCCGGCTTTAAGTCACGTCTCGATCGCCCCTGCCACAAGTACAGTACAAATTAGTTGGAATTTTCACAGTATGTAGATATTGTCGCTGTATCGTCAATTTTCCGGATTCGGATTTGCCGCTCGTATGTAAAACTTCATTTATTTATCATATATATAATGATAAATAAATGAAGTTTTTTTTTGTATATATATATATTTCCATCCGTTACCTTCTTAGACCTAAGGTTACCTTAGTATCTATTCCATAACACAAACCTTAGAGTGCTTACTTTGGGACTAGGGTAATTGCTGTGAGTATTAGAAATATGTATTTATTTATAAATAATGTTTTACAGGTGACATATCAATTAAAACTTCTGACAACAGCTTTCTTTGCTGTTATTGTATTAAAAAGGAAACTAAAAAAATGGCAGTGGTTTGCATTAGGTATATTAGCTGCAGGAGTAGCACTTGTTCAACTATCTTCTACAGAAAAAAAGGATTCAGAGATATCTACTGAGGGCCAATCACGAATATTGGGGTTTGGAGCTGCATTAGCTGCATGTTTTATATCAGGATTTGCTGGAATCTATTTCGAGAAAGTTCTTAAGGAGTCTGATATATCTGTAAGTATAGGTTTCTCCAATTGTTTTTTTTTTAACTATAAAATAATTAGATGGAAATTGCTGCTATCAGGTTTGATATTTAATTTGATCAGAAAGCCTAATTTGAAGAATGTGAAGGTCAACGCCTTTTTTTGTCTGGGAAATGTCTTATGCATCCTTCAACCACCGGGGGAGCGGGTGAAACTAAGATTGATTGGGATCAAACTGTACCTAATAACCTCAAAAATGATTTGAACCGATTTAGATATTCCCTTACAACGATATTAAATACCCTGGATTCACCAACATGAACAAAATCATGCCCGAAACCTGTCCAAAAACTGCTGGTAGATTTATTATAGGTTGAGCAAGAAGATATGATCGAACTTTACAGGGCTCTTGCAATGGTGCTTACGGAAGGTGCTTGGTCCTATATAATTGTTATTTAGACCTTCCCATAAACTTTTGCTAATGATAAAGCAGCCCTTACTACCCACGAAGAACTGGCACCAACAAGGAGCATTCTTTAAAATTCCCTTAACAACTTCTAATGTCGAAGCTTGAGATTTTATGACGGGTTTAGTACTTCTATCATTCAATATGACGAAAATCAGAGCAGAACTCCTGAAAGCGAGCAAAAAAACAGTATTATACAGGTATTTATGGTAGTGATACTTTCCTTCCAAACAGAACCTCTGCACCGTGAACCACTTCCAAATGCTCTGGCAGGTTACACAAACGCTGAAGTATATAACCTGCCCCTATATGGTATGCACTATGTGTGCGTTTGTGCACTATGAGAAAGCCGCCTCTGCCTAATGGGGTGAAACGGGGTAGTAAATTTTACTGGGGAGTGGGGTTTGAAAACGGCTGAACTAAATTGGATTCAATTTTGTACGCGTATAGTTTGCGACCTGGATGGAGACAAAGGATCATTTTACATCGAAAAAATGTTAGGTTCTCAAGGGATGCTAAAAAAACTAAAGTAAACGTGAACGATGTCGCGGGTGGCCGTTAGTCTATACTAGTATTATAAACAGGAAAGGTTTGTATGTAAGTATGTTTGTAACGAATCGGCTCAAAAAGTACTGGACCGATTTTAAAATTCTTTTACCCTTTAAATGCTACATTATCACTGATTAATATAGGCTATAGTGTATTTTCAAAAAAGTTAGGGTCCCGTATGGAAACTTCGATAATGTAACCCAACGTGTGTAAAAAATACCTCATAGACAATAGAGCAGTCATGTACTAAAGTTTTATAGAGGATACCAATATCTACAAAAAGGTCCGCGATACCATATGTCTAACTATTAGAGTTATGTCACAACTAGAGGTCCCCTGCGATTTCACCTGCATTAATTTGAAGAAAAAGGTTTATAGTGAGTCAAACTTAAAATATAGACATAGGTTGTCGTGGGCTTTTTTACAGAACTTTTAAAGGGAAAAAATTCCGTGATACATGGTTTTTGTGTCACTTTAACCGTTTACCCAGGCAGCGCACGTAACGGAATCTCACAATATTTTTACCCGTTTTTGCAACATTTTTCATCGATGCTCCGCTTCATTCCAAGTAAAAAAATTGTTGCGTAGTTTAGGACCCGTTGTACCGAATGCAACATTGCTCTACTGTTCCGATTTGAAAAAATATTTTTATATTGGACAGTGCATATATCGAGGAAGGCTATAGGCTACGCTACTATAGCCGCTACTATAGTCGTAGCCTATAGCCTTCCTCGATATATGCACTGTCCAATATAAAAATATTTTTTCAAATCGGAACAGTAGAGCAATGTTGCATCCGGTACAACGGGTCCTAAACTACGCAACAATTTTTTTACTTGGAATGGAAGGTTGACAATTATTATGAAGAAGGTCATTGTGTATAATACAAGCCTTTGAACAAAAACATACATTTCTACACCGAAGCAAAGCGAGGGCGGGCCACTAGTAATTTTATAAATGCGCAAGTACCGACTTGTGACTGTAGCTCTCTATATGTAGTTTAAAGTATAGATTTTTATAATAAAAAATGGTTATTTGTTTCAGGTATGGATGCGAAATGTACAATTAAGCCTGCTTTCGTTACCGTTCGGAACAATAACATATTTAGTTAATAACGAAGGGTCTATGAAGACAATACTAAAAGGGTTTGATGGCTTCGTTTGGTATTTGGTATTGTTACAAGCCGCAGGCGGTCTTATTGTGGCCGTGGTAGTCAAGTATGCCGACAATATACTCAAGGGATTTGCTACCTCTGTTGCAATAATAATTTCATGTGTTGCTTCTATGTATTTATTCAATTTCATATTGACCATACAATTCGCAGTAGGCACAATGTTCGTCATAGGTTCCATTTTCCTATATGGTTATGTGCCTAAGAAGCCCGACCCTCGCAATAACTTGAATGTATGATATTCTGATGATTATGCTTAAATTTTATAAGTATTAGAAAAAAGTACTTAAATGATGTAAATTTAACTACCCTCTTACATCACAATCAGGCAACTTATATACACACAAATCTTGACGTCATGTTCCTGTATTATATACCTGCATCTTAAATATTTAGGTTGAGTAATATAATGTAAAAATATATACGATATATTTTTTTTACAATTTTTACATTTGTTTTAATTAAGTCATGAAGCTAAAGCTGCTTAGGGATAGCGCGATTAGCTGTCAACGCGCACATTGGATACGCGTACAGCCCCTTTACAGACCATGCCCCGCCCGAACCTGGATACGAGACCACACGATCCACAGCACTACTGGAGCCTGATCAGTAACTGCTATTATTCACAATTGAAACTCGATGCGTCCATTTTGTCGTCCCAATCGGGCGTGCACGTTTTCTTTGACACGCGACCAAAAACCGACTGGCGACGGTGACTCGCCGCTCGCCGGTAAATCAACTTGCGCGGCACGCGTGCTTTTACACCCTTATTAATAAACAAGTAATAAGCTTAGACTAGTTATGCCGTGTTATGTTCATGTCACTCAAATGCCATATGTCATTCAATTAACAGAGACAAATCATGGAGTAACTAATCCAAGCTTATTCTTCGTTTATCAATAAGTGGGTTAGAGTGTACGGTATAGCCACAAGTACGGATATAGTGTTCTAGGGCACACGTAACCGGCTATACATATCCTGGCACGCGCTATCCGTACGCAGCTTAATATGTAGGTACTACCATAAGTAAAAAATATAATTTTATTTTTATTATCATTATCAATTTTAAGTTTTAAGGTAGCTATTCTACTATACTATAATAATTTCAGTATTTTTAATTATTTTATAACACTTAAGCTGCTTCGTTTTTTCTGGAAGAAAAAAATAAATGTATAAGATATTCTTCGGGCGCAGCCGGGTAAATAAGCAAATACTCTATTTTCAAGTAAATAAAAAATATATATATTTTTGTGTTATTATTCGTTAAACTACTTTTATCGCATGCTCTAATCGTTATGCCAGCATCCGTGAAAGTGAATCATGGGTATTACTTTATGAACGTGTAGGTATGTAAGTACTGCTATTTGAGAAATATTTCCTTTACAATGTGTTCATTTGGTGACTAGATCAACGATCAACTTATTCGATCAACAGATGCGAATAAGCGACGTGTACATATATATATATATATACTACACAGAAGTTGTAAAACAACTTAAAATAAGCACTCCTAAAAAAACGGAAACTTAATGGAGGCATTCCCTCCAATCGAGATCAGCGCCGGCCGGGGCGAGGACCGGCGGCCGCCTGTGTACTTTCCGCTTTGATTCCACACTATTACAAACATTACATTAAAATAGTCTTAGATGCTATATTATAATTATTTATTCACTGATACACAATACCTTTGAATATTATTTCATAAAGCACAGGTAATTAATCAATAAAATAAATCTTCTGTTAGAGCAATTAAAAATCCTATAAAGTTAATACCTATGACTGTCACGATTTTAAATCGGTAAAGCCTGTCTGTTAGTGTAAGAACTTCTTTTTTATTGTTAATGTTAGTTGCCTCGTTTAATTAAAACTTAAGAACAAACGGTTTATTTAAAATTGGGAAAAATCATACAGAGCAAATCGGTATAACTTACGAGCTTAGTGAAGGAAGAAACTCTTCGTGTCTGATTTGCCCACGTCATGAAATTCCGAACACATTTAATCACAGCCACAGTCACACACACACATAATAATATGTTGTTTTGCGGCAAGCACGGGCGGGCGGCGCGCCGCACGCTGGCAAGAAACGTTAGCGCCGGTTGCGGCGTCTTTGATGATGTGAATTCCGCTCACCTCCCCTCTTCCCCGCGAGCGGTGCTTTGCTTTGATTGCATGCAAAGCGCAGTCGCAAGTATATCAATCGCGCGTGGGCGTGCGCATCTTTTGACTTAGTGACATACACTGATAATTTGATTATGCCTCGGTATACAAACCAAGAATATTTAGAGATGGTGTACTGCTATCGCGAGTGTGACGAAGTAGGTTTGGTTTACGAATGAGTCCCCAAACCATAGAAGTTGCATTTTGTGCAGTGAGTAGTGATAGGGACACTTTAAAAAAGGTGGAAAGACACGTCCGCAAACGTGCCTACCTTTGTTTGCAGCAAAATGGTGGTTTAGAGCAACAATTTTGCAGATAATAATTTAAGTCTCTTTTTATTGCTAGTGTAAATACTTTTTGATTTGAAACAACTAATTACTACCAGTGTGATTGATTTGATAAAAAGTTGTAGTGAAAAAAATGAATATGTTCCTCGTTGTACCTACCTGCATCGCCGGTCTCGTAAGTACTTTCTAATACCTAGTTATAAATTTCTTTCTGACCCATGTATTAAACTGCAATAAGTATTTGTTTTTGTAACAAAATTATTATTAACTTTTTAGGTATTTTTCTCTGCTAATGAGAAGATAACACTTGTTCTTTATTTAAATAAATCTGTTATTGTAATATGGCATCTAAGGCCCGTATGAATAGACCGTTCTCAACTCTGAGAGCGATCTTGAGATGCTGTTTTGTATGAACACAGTATCTCAAGGTCGGAGTCTCAGAATTGAGAGCGATCTATTCCGTATTAATTGCCTTTATACGATGATACACGCCGCGTCAGCTGTGCGCGGTCTTTGCCCCCGGCCGCGGCGTCCGTCGACCTCGCCTGTCTCATTCACTATTCGTTTATTTTAGTAGTGCTTATTTATATGTTATATTTCACATACTATGAATACGTGTTTAAAAATAATTATTACTCAAAAAGAGGAAAGGACATAAAAATGCATAATTAAAAAAAATAAAAAATCCGAAAAAAATCAGGCATACTCTATACAAATACACGTAACCCAACAATCTCACGAAGTTTCATTAAAACATTCAATTTCACCTTATATATCAGGTCAATATAGGCACGAGTAAATTTTTGTTTGTCCACCACCACCATAGTCCACTTGTACCCGGATGACAGACCAGGTCCGTATGGGAAAGACTGTCTGAGACCTAAGTCCCACAGCGGAATCGCCGAAGTGGAAAGACTGACGAAGATATAACCGAAAACCATTTTTGAAGTTATACTTCTTTAGGCGCGTTATGAAAAAATGATGAGAGTGAAATTTTAAGATAGGCGCGCATCACTGTAACACAAAATTTTAACAGCATGAAGTTGGTCGCTTTAGCGACCAACTTCATGCGTTACTTTTGTGTTTACCGCACATTAAGAAAATCTACCAACAAAATAGAAATAGAATCTCTATTTAGTGGGTGCTAACGACTGCATTGTGAAGGCCTATCAAAAGTATTTATTAATCTGGAACAACGGAACCAAAGCGCGATTCAGGAGACTACAGCGCCATCTCTTGACCATTGGTGTAGTAGAACCAAAAACCACATCTTTATTTTTTGTAATAAAGTAACAGTTATAGGTATTCATATTTATAATATCAAAAGTATTTATTAATCTGGAACAACGGAACCAAAGCGCGATTCAGGAGACTACAGCGCCATCTCTTGACCATTGATGTAGTAGAACCAAAAACCACATCTTTATATTTTGTAATAAAGTAACAGTTATAGGTATTCATATTTATAATATTTATCCACATGTTTCTAGTTTGTATATTCGGAATACGTGTTTGAGTTTCATACAAGTGCAAATCACATATGTTCTAATAAATTATATTCAGTAGCGATTTTAATTGAATATTTTGATTTTTTTTTTTTTCAAATTAAAACTGAACTTTATTGACTGTGTCCTTTTCCAGACTCTTTATTAATTTATTGTAATTAATTATTTGCATGCAATTAAAAACTAATTTTAAACGATGCCAAAGAAGGATAACTTCTCACGCGCCTACATAAGTACACGCACCCATTTTTTTTTATATTGTTTTAAACTTTCATGGTCACTAACATTATAGTTATATAAGTTATTTACGGGATTGTTACTAAGTACCTTGTTTTTAGCGAGTGGCCGATATTTCGGCACTGTTGCAAACGCCATGATCACGGAGTAAATGAAGTAATTGCGGGTAGGCTGTTATTGGCATACATATCGGTCTACCCTCCGACGAAGTCTTTTACTGCGTTCGATACCCGTACCACTGTTCAAATTCTCACTATTCACTCGAAACGCTCTCGACACACATCACTTACAGCATCGGATCGCGACACGACACTTTTTTGTTCATTTCCGATATTACACATACGAATCACAGGATTCCAGACACTCGACAATTTAAACCCATTCGTTCTCACCATTGAAATTTTTATGTTTTGTTATTTCAATCGCTTCCCTGAACAATCTTGGTATGTACCTAGTGGCGTTCTGTCGAGATAAGCTGTGGGTTATGAAACTCAATCCAGTGGTTAGGACCAGAATCAATCAAATGTTCCGCGATGGCTGATTTCTGCGTATCGTCCTTCTTAATTGCTTTTATGTGCCTTACATTCCGGTGTCGGCGCCGGAGAGTTCGCGTGGGCTTGGGCTCACGGAATTACCGACAACCTACTTGAGCGGCTTCCTTTGGCTAAGGTGGTGATCTTGGGTGATTTTAATGCACACCAAATAGATGGTTACGATCACGTACAACTAGAGTTGGGTCAAGGGTAAAAACCCAAATGGGTTAAGGTCCCATTTTTAGGGTTTTCGCATATATCTCGGAAACTATGCATCCTAGCGACATGAGACTGTAACAAAAGTGAAAGCTGATTAAATTTGCTACAAGTCTTATTCAGTCAAGTTTTTTGATATCTTGTATAGTTTTCGAGATATCCGCTCGAAAGTCTGTAATTATGGAAAAAAAAATTGCCACCACTTCCTGGGAATGCTATTTTCCCTCGGTGGGAGGAAGACAAGAGATATCAGGCTTGATGGTGGCCACTGATTTCAAGAATGACTTGTACCTGTAGGCATTGAGGGAAATCTCTTTCGCTGGAGCTCCATACCACCTTAAGATGCAGGTTTCACCTGCCTTTTGTACTTGAGCGGTGGTGGAGAAAGGGTGTGAAAAGACTGCTGCTGCTTTCTGGATTTCTGGTGACGTGATAATGTCTCTGGTCTCTGGGAAGGGAGGAAATTTCTCCAACCAACCGGTGAGCTTGGCAATGTCAGCACCATCCTTGTTTTGGCGGGCTTGTCCGAAATCTGCATGCTGCTCACTGGTGGAACCAACAACCTTACGGCCGGCATTGTTGAAGAGTTATCCGGTCAAATAGAGCAAAAATATGAAGCAATTTTTTTTTCCGTAATTACTGACTTAAGAGCGGATATCTCGAAAACTATACAAGATATCAAACTGAATAAGACTTGTAGCAAATTTAATCAGCTTTCACTTTTGTCAAAGTCTCATGTCGCTAGAATGCATAGTTTCCGAGATATATGCTAAAATTGGGACCTTCAAAGGTGCCAAGTAGACTACAGGTATTGTTTGGGCATAGAATGGGCTATAAGCACCGAGTTTTTATTAAAGAAGACTTTCTTTAATAAAAACTCGGTGCTTATAGTAAATTCGCTTTATGTTATAATAGATACAACTTAAAAGTAACAGTTTTTTTGAGAGAATGAATTTAGCAAGTCATTACATTATAGTCGGTAAAAACAGCCGAACACACGAACACGAGCGACATCTGCCATCTGCGGGCGACATCCAATGACGTTTGTGCTAGGCGCTCCAGTGTACAATCCAATAGATGGCGTCA